TTCATGAAGACGGTTGATTATTCCAGGTTTTCCTATATTAGTAGGGTGTACCTGGCATCACAAACAAACAAACAAACAAAACAAACAAACAAACAAACAAACATATAAGAAATAACACGACCTCAGAGAGAAAGGTACACGTTCTGCGACTGGCAACAACTGTGGCGTCATGCTCACACTGGAAGGGCAATGCCCACAAATGACAAGCTTACGAATCGAACCATTAGAAAACGTCTTACCTAGAATTGCAAACCCGCTCTTACGGTCACTTGTCCAAGACAATCAGCTATACAATCGACTGCTTGCAGTTCTTTGTAAATATTAAAGTGGTATCTCATACAAAGGTCACATCACAAATGATGAAGTCAGTCAAGGGATCAAAAATGAAATTGGACTATATGCAGACCTTCTCACTCTTGTCAGGAAACGCAAACAGCACTGGTAGGGACACATCACCCGTTCATCCGGCCTTGCCAAGATGATTCTACAAGGCAGCGTTCAAGGAAAAAGGAGCAGAGGCAGACCTAAGAAGAGTTGGGAGGACAACCCCGAGGAAAGGACAGGCCTAGAACTCAAAGACACGCTCAGAAAAGCTGAAGACAGGAAGGAGTGGAGGAAGCTGGGGGCCAATTTTTCAAAAGCGCCCCGACAGACATCCAGTCTACGGGATAGGTAAAGGTAAAGATGATAGGTGAAAGTGACACTGTTCAAGAAGTCCATCTTTCTAAGACAACCTCTTTTCTTCCTCACAGTGGGTAGCCGTCTCAAACAATGTTGATTGTGTGACCATTAAAATCTTCCAGCTGGTACGTATACTTCACAGTTTAGGTTTGCCTTGACAGACAGAGTCAAAGCAGCCCGCCTCCTAGATCCTCTAAATGTGTCACGACGTGGTGGAATCGGGCACTCGTCAATTTTGTGTATGTGGAGTTTGTGAAATCATCTTAAATAGTGTTTATTCGTTTTGCTTTTGATGAACAATTACCCTTCCATCTCGAGTAGAAGTCGAGATATTTGTGATTGAAAGAGTGGGGGTCTCCAGGTTTCAGAGGTAAAATTAGCTAGAAAAAGGCCACATAACTTTGGTGACTTCCAGAGCTTGAGAGTCCTTTGAAACTGCAAATTTACAGTTTGTGTCTTAAATCAACGCTTTTCAATAATATTCACACATGAGTGTATTTTTTCCCCTTGACATTAATGGTGTTGAGGAAAAAAAAAGGGGGGGGGGGGGGGGGGGAAAAAACAGCTAAGTGGCCAGAAAAATGCCTGTTTCTTATATGAGTGTATAAATAATTCTTTTTCTTTTACCAGCGCCTGATTTCACCACGATGCCTCACAAATTGTTTTGATAGGAGTAAAATAAAGCATTTTAAAGAATTACGTTTATGTCACGCTGAGACTGGGAGGGGTGGGCGCCCCATTAGCTCAATTGGAATCATGCAGAACAACGAAGTGGATGACCCTGGTTCGATTCCCAGAGTCGGTGTTCTCTTTTTTTTTAGTAAGCGTTTAACGGCACTAGCAACACAATTAGGTCATAAAAGTGACGGTGATTAGAGATGTTACAAGAGAGTAAGAAACACAAAAAGAAGGAGGAGAGATAAAGACAACAGTTGTTTGATAGGACAGAAGGAGCAAACCACACCAGAATACCCTCCAACCACCCACTCGGTGTTCTTGAACTCGTGTCGTTATGTGGGGTTTCCAGGGCTCTCAACCTACTTGACTCGGCCCTATCGAAAGACTGTTGTTAAATTTGGATGTCCCGTCTATTTATAAATCATCTAAGAGCTTTGACAGAGACCTTAAACACACACACACACACACACACACACACACACACACACACACACACACACACACACACACACACACACACGAACACACGTGCCCGCTTACATTTATATTTTTACGTAAAAGTGCCCTTTAAAATATCAGATAAGGGCCACAATTATAGGCCACCTGAAAGAGGTTAGCTTTAGCTTAAATTAATTATATTTATTACCGCTTTGGGCCACCTTGCTACCCTAGAATTACAAAGTTCTATCTACTCAGTACCTAGTTTTGAGAAATGTGACGTTGTATTGTTCAAGTTCAACAACAGGTGAAGTTTTTTCGAAAGCATTTCTTTTAGTATATAGTATCTTGACAACGACCCCAAATAAATTTGCGATCTTTATGGAACAGATAGAACCAGGGGAAGACAATGAGTAGCTTGGATGGACAACACAAAACACGGACTGGCCTGGATATGGCCGAATGTGCAACGGCAGTTCGCAAACGAAAAGGATGAAGGGTTGTTATAACGTCAAACTCTGAGTCAAAGATGACAGCTCCAGAATCAGATTTAGATAATTCATTTAGTTTCTGACCTCATGGTCTTGGCAAAACAAAATGGCTAAGGTAAATATCAACTTATAAAGGTACATCATCGGCTGCTGTGTTAAAAACTCTATCACTCTAAGTCACTTTCTAGAAGGTGTATAGCGGAGTCCAACGCTACTCTAAGCAGCTGAAAATGGTGAAATGGTCTGTATTTAACGCCCCTATCAACACCATCATGTTATTTAAGAGATGGAGCCTCCGAGTTTAACATCCATCTCCGAAAGGACCTAGCGAAAAAGGATTTTCGTGTAAAATGCTTTTCCCAAGGACCCAATGTCGGACCGAGCTGAGGCTCGAACCCCCGAACCCGTAATCTCACGATTACGTGTCCAGTAGCCTAACTAGTAGGTCTAAGTAACTGATATGTTATGAAAACACATGATTTATCAAGTAACGTTTGGGTTATCTTATAAATCAGATTAAATTTCTATCGCTTTTTTCTTATCTACGTTTTAAACGTTTCTGTTTAATTCCAATATTTTCAAGAGTTGTTTTTCAAATCGTAGCCAAACTTGGTACAAAAGAACAGATTGACATTTAGTTGCTTTTACCAGTGTCTATGGTGCAGGGTTTAGGCGCCTTGCTATTGCACGTAGGAGACCTGAGTTCGATTCCCGAGTTTGGAGAAAATTTTCCTTTTGCTGTGATGTTTCTTAGCCCGGGTTGGCTGACAGACAGTGTCGGATCCCGCCTCCTACATGATATAAACTGTGTCGATGGGAGCGAAAAACACCTAAATTAAAAATAGTTGCATTTATAGCTGATACACGTATATGGGTCATTGTGTAATCACATTCGGAGGCGTAAAATGGGAGGAAAAGAGAGGGGGGGGGGGATATCTGCCTATAGCATTTATTTTGTTAATGTTATTCAAGATATCCAAGAGACCAGCTGTTCATAATTTTTTGTTTAGAAAGATTCTACCAAGACACCAAATCTGACAATTTTGTTTTTGTAAGTTAAATCAAATTCTTCTTAGTTTATGGAAGCTCTCTATTTTAAATATGACCGTCTTTAGCATTTTAAGTTTAACAGTGTATTTTAGAATTTTTAAAATTCTAAAGTTGTTTTTTCAAGGTATTTGTCTAATTTACCCCCTTGCAAAAAAAAAAATAAATAAAAAAAGCTTTACCTGGGCGTCCACAGTTTTCAAGACAGGTATGAAAAGCCGCCCTTGACCCCCTCACTGCTAGGGCAACGTTGAGCTCACGTTTCTCCATTCCTTTCCTCACCCTTTATCCCTTATTAACTAAAGGATGAACAAAAAAGCAAAGCAAATCTTCCCTGCAGGAAAATGTTTTAATTTTCGAAATGCATAGTAGTTGACAGTATCATAATAAAAATCAAACGAACTAAAACAGTAGCTCATCATTGCTGGTCCTCATTGTGCAGTACTAGGTGAGTTGGCAAAAATTGAAACAGCAATTAAACTTATTCCAAGAATTGATAGAGCCATTCTGTATTGTATTTTGTTGTTGTTGCTGTTATCGTTGTTGTTGCTGTTGTTGTTATTGTTGTTGCTGCTGTTGCTGCTGTTGCTGTTGCTGTTGTTGTTGTTAGAGGCAACCTTCCTCTAACAAGCACTTAATTCCACTAGAAAAAAGATCCCCCTCTCCCCCACCCTACCAAAAATAATTTTAAAAAAAATAAATGGGCTCTATAAATTATAATTCTCAGTTTTAATTCTGTTGAACATTTGGCATCCGACGTTATTATATATCCTAGATATGTAAACTGTTGGACTTGTTTGATCTTTCCACCTTTGCTAATGAGATTACAAATAGATTTGTGCTTTTTTATATCTCCCTGCATTCTCTTTTCTTTACATTCAACAATAATCCTTTACGTTCACTTTCTTTTACAACAGTATCTAGAAGCGACTGAATGTCATTTTCTGAGTCTGCTATTAAAACTGTGTCATTGGCATACCTGATGTTATTAATATTTTCTCCTTTCACTTTGAGACCTGGACATTCTTCTGTTTCTAAGGATTGTTTCACTGTACATGTTAAAGAGGTCGTGTGACATAACACATCCTTTTCTCACTCCTCTTCTAATCTGCTTATACTCACTGCATTTTAATTCTGTGTTTTATTAATATTTGCCTTTTCAGATGTGATGCGGTTTCTGAGTATTTAGGTTTAAAAATCCAAAGTTAGCTTCATAAGTATATTATTATGATCATAATTATTAGCATTATCATTACTCTTATCGATATTATAATTGCTACATATTATCATTATCATTCTATCATCGTTTCTCTCTTTCTCTCTCGGTCTCACTATTTCTTCATTCCCCCTTCCCCTTTCTCTCCATTCTCTCTCGTTTGCTCGCTCTCTCTTTCT